TACCTGCCCCGCCGCCGCCGCTCAAAGAGGAGTCAGGCGGAGGGGGCAGCCCCTCGGTGCAGCCGCACCAAGAGCCCGCCTCCGGGGAGCTCCGCGGCGGTACGCAGCGTGGGCCTGGCCCGCGAGCACACCACCCAGCCGGGGTCTTGGCTTCTGGAGCGGGCAAGGAGAGCCCCGGGGCTACTGCCCAGCCTCGGGTCAGCCAGTCGCAGCAGCAACGAGGGGGCGGCTTGTCGGATCCCCACGGACGAGCCGCTCCCCCGGACCTGGGGGAGGAGCGACGGGGAGGGGGTGGAACAGAACTGGGACCCCCTGCCCCGCCTCGACCCCGGAACGGCTATCAGCCCCACCGGCCCCCTGGGGGAGGTGGGGGCAAGCGGAGAAATAGCTGCAATGTAGGGGGAGGTGGTGGAGGCTTCAAACATCCAGCCTTCAAGAGGCGCAGGCGGGTTAATTCGGACTGTGACTCTGTGTTACCATCCAACTTCCTCCTGGGGGGCAATATCTTTGATCCACTGAACCTGAATAGTCTCCTGGATGAGGAAGTGAGCCGCGCACTCAATGCTGAGACCCCTAAGTCATCCCCGCTCCCGGCCAAGGGGCGAGATCCAGTGGAGATTCTCATCCCCAAAGATATTACTGACCCACTGAGTCTCAATACTTGCACTGATGAGGCCCAAGTAGTTCTTGCTTCACCACTCAAGACTGGTCGGAAGCGACATAGACACCGGGGACAGCACCACCAGCAGCAGCAGGCAACTGGAGGGATTGATAGCCACTCTGTGCTGCCCACAGCTCCCCCCACTCCCTCACTCCATGGGGAGGGCACCACACAGCAGCAACGGCATAGGGGCCAGAACCAAAACCGTGATGCCCCCCAGCCCTATGAACTCAACACGGCCATCAACTGCAGGGATGAGGTTGTGTCTCCCCTTCCGTCTGCCCTGCCTGGTCCCTCAGGCTCCCTCTCAGCCTCTTCAGCTGCCTCAGTTACCTCTGCACCCCCGTCTTCCTCCTCACGACATCGAAAACGTCGCAGGACTTCCAGCAAGTCAGAGGCAGGGGCTAGGAGTGGAGGAAGCCAGGGTCCCAAGGAAAAGGGCCGAGGGAGTGGGGGAGGCCGCCACCACCTCCACCCACTACCTGCAGCAGGTTTCAAAAAGCAACAGCGCAAGTTCCAGTATGGGAATTACTGCAAGTACTATGGGTACCGGAATCCTTCCTGTGAGGATGGGCGCCTTCGGGTGTTGAAGCCTGAGTGGTTTAAGGGTCGGGACGTCCTAGATCTGGGCTGCAATGTGGGCCATGTGACCCTGAGCATTGCCTGTAAGTGGGGCCCATCCCGCATGGTAGGCCTGGATATTGATGCCCAACTCATCCACTCGGCCCGCCAAAACATCCGACACTACCTGTCAGAGGAGCTGCGTCTGCAACCCCAGACTGCTGAGGGGGACGCAGGGGCAGAGAGTGAGGAAGGGATCAAAACCGTTCGAAAGAGGAGCTGCTTCCCAGCCTCACTGACAGCAAGCCGGGGTCCCATTGCTGCACCCCAAGTGCCCTTGGATGGAGCAGACACATCAGTCTTCCCCAACAATGTTGTCTTCGTTACGGTAAGAGGGTCTTGGGATAGGGCCCAGGTCTGAGGATGAGATTAAACAATGTGACGGGAAGGTTATGAGCCAGAGGGATTTCTGTGTATGCAGTCCACACCAGGAGAACCAGGTCCTCAAGAGAAGGGTCTGAATCCACTGGGTGTCTCTTCCTATAACCTGGGAAGGTGGAAGGAAGCTCTACCTGGGTTCCTTTCTTGTGACTCCTAGCCCCAAAATGGGATATGACCCCTTTTGCCCTCCTCCCTACCTGGACTAATCCAGGCCAGTCCACCTTCTCTAGGGGGCTACTGCTGATGCTCACTTGGGGATCTGGTCCACATGGAAACTTGTCCTCTAAACTACTGAAGGTGCATGAAGGGATGGGTATCAGACATGGAATGTCCCCCGGGGGGGCGGGGGGAGGATTAGGATAGTGGCTAATATTTGCAGTTTCTCTCCATTGATAGGGACTTAGTTTGCATATGATAAAGAGTTGAAGAGTGTCGGTGGTCAGGAACCCAAGTGCTTGGCCTTGGATCATCTCCACACTGACCCTAGATAATAGGATGGAGAAGAGTCAGAGTCCTCTGCAGGAGGGGAGGGTAACATGCCTTCAGCGTCTGTCCCCTGACTGCCTGCACATAGCGCCTCATGAAACACTCCAATTCGCCATCTGCAGGAGTAGTGTTGGAAAATGGACTTTTTTCCAGCTTACCTAGAAAAAAATTTCCTGAGGGATGGTCTCTTCACTTCTCTGGAAAGAATAATCCTAAAACTTTGCCAGCCCCAACTACTGAGAAGGAACCACAGGTCTCCCTTTCAAATCTGGGTTAGGTCTCGTTGAGTCTCGGCTTAATGGGCAGTGTCTTGGAGGAACTCTAGCATTCTTTCTCGGCAGTTTCACCCCAACTTTGGAGATCTTGTGAGGCTTCTTTTGGTTTACCACCAATAGCATGCAAAAAAGTGATACTGACGGTATCAAAGATGATTGTGGCCAAGGGCTATAAAGTGAGGCTGCAGATTAAATGTGTGGGTTCATAGTTCTTTTAATGCCGCTGTTGACCTCTCCCTCAGGGTAACTATGTGCTGGATCGAGATGAGCTGGTGGACGCCCAAACACCTGAGTATGATGTGGTGCTCTGCCTCAGCCTTACCAAGTGGGTACATCTGAACTGGGGAGACGAGGGACTGAAGCGCATGTTTCGACGGATCTACCGGCACCTACGCCCTGGGGGCATCTTGATCCTCGAACCCCAACCTTGGTCAACCTACGCCAAGAGAAAGACTCTCACAGTGAGTTGGTATTTAAGTGGAAATTGGTATGTCCTGTAGTTGAGGCAAGAAAGACCCCAAAGAAGTGGGAAGAGGACTTTCTGAACAAGGTGTAAAGATCTCCTGGGTGGGCATCATTCTCTGGCAGGGAGAAGGCAGCAAGCTGAAATGGTCCCTGCTCTTCTCCCTAGGAAACAACCTACAAGAACTATTATCGAATCCAGCTGAAGCCAGAGCAGTTCAGTTCCTACCTGACATCCCCAGAAGTGGGTTTTTCCAGCTATGAGCTTGTGGCCACACCCCACAGTACCTTCAAAGGTAAGTCTGGCTTATTTTGGTGGGGGAGGGAGACCAGTCCTGAGGGAGAAGGTACAGACCCTGTGGAGTCTTGAGGTCCTGCCCATCCCTCCTGATTGCACACTCTCCTCTTAGGCTTCCAGCGTCCTGTGTACCTGTTCCACAAGGCCCGTTCCCCCAGCCACTGAGTGGCCCCTTGAACAGAAAGTGTGAAGAAGCTGCCCGCTGCTCTTAAGGACCTGGGGAAAGAAAATATCCCGCAGTCTTTCCTTCCTGGCTCCAAAAGTTTCCTTTCTTGGATCTGCATAGAAAGCTTTTCCTGTGTTGCTGCCCCAGCCTCCTCCCTATACCTCTGGTACCTAAGCAGCAAGCCCAGCTGTTCTGGAGTTACCGCCATCTTCCTCTTCCCCCAGCCCACTGGCTGGATGGCATGGACTGTTTGCTGATCTCTGTTCTCCTAGGGCACAGGAGGTGGGGAGTTATCAAGCTCTCTGGCCTCTTCCTCCTGTCCTTCCAAGGAGAAATTCCCATTCTCCTCAGCCCTTGTCCCTGCCTCCATTTCAGTGGACCACATGATAGAGGAACTGAGGCTTAAGAGGGGGAAGCTTGATGGGGAGGCATGCAGGTACTGTGAAAATCCCTCTGCTGTCCCCCATGGAGAGGGGGTTGGGTTTGGAATGTAAGAACAGCACAATAAACTTGATGTTTAGGGCAATGGCCCCCACACCTATGTCTGGCATGTTTGTGTATATATATATTTCAGAGAGAGGAAGGGAAAGAAACATCAATGATGAGAATCATTGATCGACTTGCTTCCTGCACACCCTACATAGGGAATCCTGCAACCCAGGCATATGCCCTGACCGGGAATCGATCTGTGACCTCTTGGTTCATAGTTCGATGCTCAACCACGGGGCCACACAGGCCAGGCTGTGTGGCAGTTTTTAACTGGTGGGAAGGGATGGTGCCTCCCAGTACAACCTGTGCTTCCTCTGTCTAAACTACTCCCAAGGTTTTTCAATGATTGGGAAGATTGTGGATTGCTACATCTACACACAACTATATAGGACCTTAGTCAGGAAAAAGGGGTATGATGCAAATTTTGATGTGAAACTTGAAGAGCCCATCTATCTCCCATCCTCCCTCCCCCCCCCAAAAAAAAAAAACCATGACACAAGTTTTTTTGTGGAAGCTTTGGCAGAAGGCTAACTTTGGGATTTAACAGTAGAGTTGAAGTGGAGCTAGAAAAAGACACTTTGGCCCAGACAGACTCCCTGCTCTAGGACCTCCCTACCACCCTCTCTCCTTTTTTGATGCTGTGGAACCAGCT